CTTTTGTTTTTACAACACCATCATCTCCAAAGAGAACTTAAAGGTTTTAGAGTTACAAAGAGTAAGAAGGTGCAAAGGGACACGGAGGGCACAGGGACAGTCAGCTGGGCTTGGAAGAAACATAAAGCAAGGACTGTCACTGGACTAAAAAGACACTCCCAAACTGGGGCAGAGGAGACAAAGGGGGAGAGAGAGAGAGAAACACAGAGACAGAGAGACATACAGAGAGTACTGCATCCACAGTGGCTTTCCAGCAATCCCTGGAGAGGGGCCAGCACCCTGGAGCAGGAAGGCGAATGTGCTACACCGAGCACATGAGGCCAAAGGCAGGCCTAGGAAGACTCTCCTGAATGGGTGGAGAGGGAGCAATGCAGAGTGCAAGGGGACCCAGTGAGTATGACCAAGACTGACTGCCCATGTGACCTGGAGTGGGGACCTGGAGACCTAGAGGGGTGCCATTTGCCAATGGATAGCCAAATATCAGAGATCATGCATGTGCATAGGTGTATGCCCCCCCATACCTGGGCACTGCATAACTATGCATCTACCTGGGATTCGGAGGGTACAGATTAATGCCTCTGGAAGGATTTAAGTTCAATGTCTCACCAACTAGGTGAAAACAGAAATACACTGATTTTTGAAAGGTGAAGACTTATGCCTCTTGCACTCTCAATTAATGAACTGACATCCATATATATCACGATATAAACTCATATAAATGCACTCATATTATTGATATTGATAATGATATTTATATTTTTAGCCTAACTACTCTAAATAGATTTTTAAAAATCTCGAGGGGAAGCGAACAGTAATAGGGTGACATACATTAAAAAAATAAAAAGTTTTGTGGTATTGAAATAGTAATTGATTAGATTTAAAGAGAGCGAGAGAAAGAATAGAGAAAAATGATCTGCTCTGTTTCCCACTGAGGTTGATCATTTGTTTCCAAGACTTCATATGTGTGTCACATTTTTAAAGAACAGATCTTAAATCACGGCCAAAAGGAGATCTGGTGCGATGATGAACGAGCTGGAAAACCCTTCTACTTATTAGTAGCTTCTTAATAGTTTCTCTGACGGGTGGTGTGTGTGTGTGTGTATTCCTGTCATTTTATGATTTCAGTAAATGAAGGCTTACGGGGGAAGTCACAGCAAGCTCATACTCTAGTTAAACCGGAGATGAGGGAAGCATCATTTAAGAACACAGTGTTTCCCTATCTCCCTTGACGACTTCTTCCTGTGACTCGCCTGACTGATGAATTCTGTATATAAATACTCTGTCTCAGAATTGTTTTCTCACTGATGAGACTCTCTTCTCCTTCCTGGCACCAGAATCTAATTTAAACTAGTTCCTGTGAAGATCCAAAATGTATACAAAGTTTTTTTTTTTTTTTTTTTCCTCTTGCATTTTACAAGGGAAAGGAAACACAAGATAGAAGTAAAAGAGACGTTTCATTTTATTTTATTTTTCTATTGTGCATCACACTGCATTCCAGGGGAAATGGGAGTCCGAAGTTTTGACTTCACAGACTCTGCATGGATGAGCTCTATGTACTTTAGACATTGACTTTTCCTGGAGTCCTGTCAAAGCAGTTAATGCTTTCGGTATTTCCTAAATGCAGAGGGCTGGCGAGGCAGGCATATCCTGCCCCGCACCACTCAGCTTTATGGAGACATCATCGAAATTAAAATTGTATGTATTTAAAGTGCATGGGTTAGGTGCAACTTGGTGTTTTGGTAAACTTACACAGTGTGAGTTAGTTGCCACAATCCAGCTAATTAGCATACCCAGCACGTCATGTAGTTATCATCCTCTGTTTTCTCTACGTGTGGGGAGAAGGTTTAAGACCTGCCCTCTTAGCACATTTCATCTGCTTTTCCTTTAAGGATTTCCAGCCTTGGAAGCTGCCTGGTCACAAACACCCTCTTTCCCTTTGGAAATAGGATCTCTCTGGTTTCAGGTCCCCTTCCTGAACTGAGTCCATCTTTTCTTTGACATGTGAATATTTTATACGTCTTCAGTGAGTGTCAGGGTTTCTGTTGGTGTTTTGCAAAGGGCACGGCTCTTAGAAAATTTGAATTCCTCTATTAATATTGTTGACTTCGGAAGTCAGAGATGCACCTGGGGGAAACATTTCATTTTCTTAAACATATCTGCCATAAATGTGGCCGATGGTATTCAGTAACATCACAAAACAAGCCTGTTACTTTCCAATGAGGCAAAAGGATGTTTCCCCACTGACCACCACCCGAAAGAGGAGAAGTAGACCCCATCAATTATTTTGGTTAAATCCAATATGTGAAAACCTGCTTTTTCACAGACTAGGAATGGTAACTATGGCTTGAACGGAGCAAACACAGACCCTCCATTCAAAGAAGAATTAGTTCTGCTTCGTTATCTGCCATTCAGTTTCCGACCAGACTTCTCAAAACCTGCATATCTCAGAAGTATCTTATTTAATTTGCATTTGGAAACTCAAAATATATTTGACATTTTAATTTTATCGGTTCTATTTAAATTAGGTCAGCATGTGTTAACTGCTTGTGACAGTGTTTTTATTAAGCTTTTGGGAATGCTAGATCTATAGGATCCAAATTCAGTTGATGGGATTATGCTTCTATTGACCACAGATCCTGGGCAAGTTACTTAGTTACCTGGAGCCTCAATATCCTAGTCTGCGAAATAGGAATAATGAAAAGTAGAGAAGGGTCTAACTCAGAGAATTGCTGGGATGAATAAAGGAGGAATTTGTGAAGATCTTAAAGGAAAGATGCTCAATAAAGTGGCACTAATCTTATTATCTCTACGTTGACTGTCGTTGCTAGAGTCTGGGGGACAAGAGCTCAAAGAAAAGCAGTTGTCCCCTTCAAGGAGAGATTCACGGGGAGGGTGAGACACAAATAGGTACAGCCAGTCCCTGTACTAAGGGCCATTCTAGAAGCACTCAGGACAGACTACGGGACAACAGAGGAGAAAGTCAGTTCTCACTGGGGATGTCTGGAAAAGCTTCCTGCAGAGACCGTATCGCTCAGGCTTTGAAGGATGAGGTGGGTAGTGTTTTGAGGGAGGAAAATGGAAAAGGGCTTTGGAATGAAGGGACATTCCAAGAGAAAGGGACTGGGTATAAAAAGACACTAAGATGGCAAAATCCTGTCCCTGGAACAGATTCGAGTCCCAGCTATAATAAATGCAGGAATAAACGAAAGCATGAGGGGTCCATTGTGGCCTCTGAGCTGTGTGCTGACATCTCTTGTTTTCAGCGATAACCTTTTGGTGGTTTGTATATTCCCAAAAGCCTCTCAACATCGGTGCTGAGTTCATGCCGTCATTTAAAAGCAGAATGAGCCCTGGCCGGTTTGGCTCAGCGGATAGAGCTCAGCCTGCGGTCCAGAGAGACCCGGGTTCGGTTCCCGCTAAGGGCACGCACCTCGGTTGCAGTTTGTCCCCGGCCCTGGTCTGTGCGGGTGGCAGCCACTCGATGTGTCCCTTTCACGTCAATGTTTCTCTCTCTCTCTCTCTCTCTCTTCCTCCCACTCTGTCTGAACAAAAGGTGGAAAAATGTCCTCAGGTGAGGATTAAAAAATAATAATAATAATAATAAAATAAAAGCAGAATGATTTGGGGGCAGAATGGCACTGTGTCTTCCCAACAAGAAGAATAACATTGAATCTACTTGTGTCATCCGTGCTCTTACTGGAAAACAACTTATCCTAACCCCTGTCCAGCAAAGGAAAGTTCAGAGCAGGTGCAGTGTTTTCTCTTTGTTACATTAGTTTCAACCTCTGATTCATGAAATTCTTGGAGTTTCTTTTCTGTAGCATGCTCCGCTCATTCACCAGCCTGACTCATTTTATCTGCTTGGGTCCAATCTCCCCGTCCTTGGCACACCTTCTTTTGCTGCTGAATAAATAAATCATCCTGGGATATGTCCAGAAGGACGATTTTCATAGGAAAGTTCCAACTGCATTCAACCCCTCATTTATTCAGGCTGAGTTCTCAGGCTCCCCAGGAGAAAGAATTGAGAGAATAAAGAGGTGTTTCCACTGCCAAGCTTACTAATATGGCCATTAGCACAGATGACTTGGGGCTATGCCCACGGAGAGAGAACACAGCTCCACACATATCTTGTTTTAGGGTCTGCAGGAACCCGCCTCCCTTCCCACCCAGCCCTCTGCCCTGTCTGGTCTCCCTCATGTCCCAGCTGGTTTCTGGACAGCTGGTGAGGCTGATGAGTCCAAGGAACTTAAGGAGAAAGAAGCAGCATTTCATTCTCAGGGATACATTTCCTGGGATTATTTCATTAACATCTAGATAACTACAAAACTTGGGGGGCTCGGGGGGTGCTTTGGCACTAACTTCTGGCCCCACGGCATGGGCTAGCTACTCTGGGAGATCTTGACAGTTAAATTAATTCCTCTACAAACTCGTTTAAAAAATAGAGTTGACCTTCCTTCTATTTAAAATTGAACATTTAATGGTGTTGCCTTTCTTGGGGGGTGTGATAGAATACACCTCTGAAAAACTGGACCCAAAGGAGTCAATCCCAGGATGTGTTCATCCCAGAAATCTGCTGTTTACGGATCTGGGAAAATGTTAGAGGCTTCTTCGCTCTTCTGGGATTGTCTGTGTTAAGGCCAGTTCTGAGTGTAAACCGAAACCCTGTGTGTGGGAAAGGAGGAATTAACAAGGAAAGAATTAAATCCCGTTTCTGGGACACGGTGGACACAAATAGCCCTGGAGAGAGTGTACGGTGGACACAAATAGCCCTGGAGAGAGTGTACGACGTGGTTGGGGAGGGTGGCCATCGAGGACTATTGCTCTGGGCAGTCAGAGGCGGGGAGTTTCTCTTCGCCCAGCAGGGAAACCGCAGGCTCCAGAGTGACAAAGGTGCGGGGAGGCGGTCATGTAGGCTTTCGTGGGACGCCACCAGGAGCTGCAAAAGCGCCTAGGGCCTGACGTCATTGGCCATCAGCTGACTGTGCTGGGGCCCAGGCTCCACCGGCTGCAGCCTCAGTCGCGGTGGCGGTGGAGGTGGCAGCCACCGCGGCTCCGCCACATTCGGCGGCGCTCGAGACTGCGGCGGGCGCACTCGCCCCGAGGACTGGACACAGGAGCCCAGGCTCCGCCTGGCGTGGATGCAGACACCACGCGCCCACCGCGCTGCGCCTTGGTCCTCTCCAAGCATCCCAGGGGCTTTGTCCGCATCCAAGCGCCTGAACCCAGCGGGCAGGAAAGCGGGGCTCCAGTGGGAGGCTGGAAATGCCTTCCCCATGTCCTTCTCCTAGACCCTTCCTGTGCGCAAGGAGAAACTTGGTGTGCTAGGCACTTGGGGGCGCACCCTCCAGCCCCCAGGATTGGTGTAGTAAAGAGACTCCACAGGAAGCTGCCTGCCTCGACAATTTCGGCTTCGTGGGGTATTTTGCTTTTTAGCCCGAAAGTTGGCTTTACCAAAAGCCCCCGTGGGGAGGGCGGAAAGGAGACCCTCAATTCCGCGTGCTGGGCTCTCGAAGTCTGTGGGCAAAGCGGCCTACGAGTCCTGGCTGCGCACCCGCGGAAGACCGGAGCCAGTGCCTAAAAAAGAACAACGGAGGAACCCGCCCGCACCGCCAGCTGGAGCGCGGGATCTGCGCGCGGGGGCAGGGCTGGGGGCGCCCGCAGCTGTCCTCTCCCACGCCGCTCTGCGCGTGCGGCCGCCTTCAAGACCTGGGGCGTCCGGGCCAGACCTGGGTGCCAGGTCCCGCCACCCCCACCCCGTCCCCATGTTCCGGGGGCGTGGCTTGGCGCAAGGGCGGGTTTAAGTCGCCATGGGTGCCTGACCAATCTGACAGGTCTCCAAATTTCTCCCTGTCGCCGGGTGCCCGCAGCGCACTTCAGAGCGCCGGGGCGGCACGCGGCGCTGCCCTGGATCCCGAGGCGTCTCCGTCGGCTTCCCCGCGGCCTCGGGCCTCTCTTCTCGCCCAAATCCTACACCCGCCGCACCCACTTAGCTTCGGTTCTTGTCTTGGATCCTCACCGATGGCTTCCTTTCGTTCTCAGAGCTGTTGCTTTTGGAGCCCTCCCCACTTTTTCCGGCCCCCGCCTCCCGCTTCTCCCAGCTCCGGGCCAAATGGACTCCAGAGAGCGAAGTGAAGGGAATGAGCACTGGGAGCTGCGACTCCTCGGAAGCACAGCTGGAAGGGCTGACCTCGTCTTGTGGCAGCGACTGGGACCCTGAGGCCCTCCCCCTGCCCGGAGGGATGCGTCGGGCCGGAGCCAGCGCTGTGCGGCCAGCCCTCGTTCAGGAAGTGGAGACCACCAGAACTGCTGAGCCCAGAAGGGAGCCTCGGCACTCCCCCTCCTCCAAATTAACTGTTTGGTGACTTGTTAGCTCGAGGCTACCACCTCTTCAACCTGCCCGCGGGGCACCCACTCCTCCCCCTTCGTTGCCCCCGCCCCGAGCTCCGCCCCGGCTCCCCATCCCGGCGCAATGGAGTTCTCCGAAGGGCTCGGTTCCAGCCCCAGCTGCTAACTTCGCACCCATCACCGCCGCTGGTCACCCTAGGCCAGCCCCCCTCAGCCGCCGAGTCGTGGGCGTCCGGAGCCCAGTGCCGCAGCCAGCACTCGCTCGGCGCGCGGCAGCAGCGCGGCGCCCAGGAACCTCTTGGAGAGCAAAGGCTGCGCCAAGACGCTGAGCCGTGAATCAGCCAAGAAGCCTGAGCCCCGGAAGGGGGCTGCGTGGCTCCGAGCGCCGCGGCTTCTGCGGACACACAGCCGCCGCGGCCGCTCGCCCCAGCTGCGCGGGTTGGCGGGGGGCGGCGCGCAAGGACGCGAGGGTCTGCGGCGATCTTCCAGGCGCCCTTTGCCCCGGGGCACACTATGACCTGACGTGCAGGGGCCTCCAGCCCAGGACTCTCAACGGGACGGCCAGGGACAAAAGGGCTCACCGCCAAGTCCTACCAAGCCGCCTTTGGGTCGTTGGGACCCCCTCCCCCAGCCGCCTCCCTCGGGTTCTGCGCCTCCTCCCTGCGGCGGGCGTCATGGAGCTCTCCGAGGTGCGCTGCCTTAGCGGCAGCGAGGAACTCTACACCATTCACCCGACGCCCCCGGCCGGCGACGGCGGGAGCGGCTCTCGACCGCAGCGGCTGCTGTGGCAGACTGCGGTGCGGCACATCACCGAGCAGCGCTTCATCCACGGCCACCGGGGGAGCGGCGGCGGCGGGAGCGGAGGCTCTGGCAAAGGCTCGGACCCTGCAGGCGGCGGCCCCAACCACCACGCGTCGCAGCTGTCCGGCGACTCCGCGCTGCCCCTCTACTCGCTGGGCCCTGGGGAGAGAGCGCACAGCACGGGTGGCACCAAAGTCTTCCCGGAACGCAGCGGGAGTGGCAGTGCCAGCGGCAGCGGGGGAGGGGGCGACCTGGGCTTCTTGCACCTGGACTGCGCCCCGAGCAACTCGGACTTCTTCCTCAGTGGGGGCTACAGCTACCGGGGGGTCATTTTCCCCACGCTGCGCAACTCCTTCAAGTCCCGGGATCTGGAGCGCCTCTACCAGCGCTACTTCCTGGGCCAGAGGCGCAAATCCGAGGTGGTGATGAACGTGCTGGACGTGCTGACCAAACTCACCCTCTTGGTTCTCCACTTGAGCCTGGCCTCGGCCCCCATGGATCCCCTCAAGGGCATCCTGCTGGGCTTCTTCACCGGCATCGAGGTGGTGATCTGCGCTCTGGTGGTTGTTAGGAAGGACACCACCTCGCATGCGTACCTGCAGTACAGCGGTGTGGTCACCTGGGTGGCCATGACCACCCAGATCCTGGCAGCAGGCCTTGGCTATGGGCTCCTGGGCGATGGCATTGGCTACGTGCTCTTCACGCTCTTTGCCACCTACAGCATGCTGCCGCTGCCGCTCACCTGGGCCATCCTAGCCGGCCTGGCCACCTCGCTGCTGCAGGTGGTCCTCCAAGTGGTCATTCCCAGACTGGCGGTCATTTCCATAAACCAGGTAACGCTTGCCTGCCTTCCTCTTCCCCACCCCCACCCCCTACTCCCCTGGTTATTTAGAAATAGCCTTCTGAGAGGCAGGTGGCCTACTCACTTGAGTTCCCTCCCCAGCTGGCTACAGGGCCTTGCACCTGGGAGGTTCTGCGGGTTAGTGGATGGCATTGCTCTCTTCTTAGAGGAATGGGAACTGAAGGACCTCTAGAGGTTCTATCAACTCTGCCCCTTATATTCTGATTCTGTTAGTAATTCCTCTCTGACATCAGCCAGGGTGAGTAGTCTCTGGAGCAGGAGCCAGATGGGAGAAGCACCCAAGGGAGATGGTGACCCATTTCTTCACAGCTTTACATACTCACAAGAGTCCCAGCAGGGAGTTGTAAGGGACGCTGGGATTCAGAGCTGAGTCTCTCTGTGTACCTTTGTGCCACGAATCCTCAGTACTCGGAGGAATCAATGTTTGCTAAACACACACTCATTGTGGGTGCTGGAACCTTACTACGGTATCTCACCCAGTACTGCGGACATCCTGTGACACGCTTTTTGCTGGGAATTCTTTATTGCCTCGGGGACCTAAGATATCTTTTCTACAGAAGCCTGGGATCTTCTTGGAAATTGGGACTGGGACTGGGGCAGGTGTCATTGACAAACAAAGCGTTTTTGCTTCGCTGGAAAGGGGCGTTTTGATGTAGATGGTTTGAAATATTTAGGTGGAACCGGACTCTTTAGGTGTCTTTCTCCTTTCTCCCCCTTTCTTCCCATCTTTCCCCATTAAATATGGATGTGTTCAGGTGGACAAGGTTCCCACTGTCTGTGAATGAGAAGGTAGACAGTGACTCTATTGTTTAAATTCATTAGAATCAATAGATAATTAATGGCCTGGCACTTCCTTTGCCAAATATCTGGCGGGTGACAGGAGAGTAAATTCGGGGGCTTCTCAATGACAATGAGGGGACGTGTCAGCTGAAGTGTTTTCCCACAGAAGGCTGGCCGCTCCGTGTGTTCCTGCTCTGGCCTCAGGTTCTCAGCCACTTCTGCTGTATCAGAAGCTTAAAAACTCCTCTTCCTTGTGGTCAGATGGTTCTTAGAGGAAGCGAGTAGGACACCTCTGAACATTGCTCATGATTTGGGGAGCACTGGCACCCTGTGAGTGTTCGACCCGTCGTTGACTCTCTGGGCTTCCAGTCGATCTGAGATTCTCTTTCTTCTCTGATGGCTCTGTCTGCATTTGCTCAGGTTGGTTATCTGCTTGTTGCTTTAAGGGTGCTTTATGAAGTCTCCCTACGTAGATAAAAGAGTATTAAAAGTACAAGGCTACGGTCATCAGGCCTGACGGGGCAATGTGAGCCTTGGTTACTAGAGGCTGACCTGCTGAACTTTTCCCAGTTAAAGACAATAGTGAACGTTTTATCAGAATTACCAGGAACCTTTAGTGCCCACATATGATAAGGATTCCATTGGGGAGCCTATTTTAACTGTGTTTCTCAATCCTGTTTGTACCTGAACTGAATCTCATCTGAGACTCATCTCTTACTTTCTTCCCAGTTTTCTTATTCTGTTTTGCATCTTTGTTACTATGTGCTTAAATATCAGCAGCTCTCCCACCTCGTCCCTTCTCCCCTTCGTATCCTCTTCTTTATTCTGTTCTCTTTCCGTCTGTTTTCTTCACTATGAGTTGTTTTCACAATATAGCATAGTTATCTGATCACTTGAAGAAAACTCCATTTCTTACAACCTACTGCTTTTCCTACACTAGCCTTCCTTGGGACACATTACCAGAAGATTTCATCATATCGGTTTGGCATAGTATTTGGAATAACACATCCTAAGTGGCAAAAGAGGGATATTTTCTAAGTATAGAGATACTTTTCATGCCAAATGAATCCAGAAAGTAAATTGTGGCTCCATATTTGTTTTATGCTCAACTCAAATACTACCAGATGGCAGAAGATTAAAAATAACCCCCACATGTCTTCCCACGCCCACCTCATCCTAAACAACCCTTCACTGCGAAAACCAAGGTCTTGGTCCTTGCAAACCAAGCTCATTCAACTTTCTGTTTGGAAAGGAATCGTAGATGAACTACAATGTCTAAGCTGAGTCACCTTTTTACTTGACTCTGTACAATCAGAGCGCTATCCTTCCCTGTAGGTGCTGAAGGAACCTTTGTGGCTTTGGCTACAAAACGTTTTCCTTTGGCGCCCTCTAGAGGTCCAAGCTTCTTGCTTAGATCCTGCAAAGGGAATGGATGAAGATGGATGAAGTGAAATCATTTCGAAAAAAAAAAAAATCTGTGATTTTTTTAATAGGTACTGCTTCGTTTTTCCCTGTTTGGTTAAATACAGGCTGGGGCAAAAGTAGATTTACAGCTGTGAGTATGAAACAGTTTATTCTTGTATTACTATTTATTAATCACTGCATTCTTTTCCATACGAACAACTGCAAACCTACTTTTGCCCCACCCTGTGCAAGGTGCGCTTAAAACCTGCTAACGACCTCACATAACAGCTAGAGTAACATTTTAACTCCTCACCATGGCAATCCTTTAGCTTCTGTGAGCTGGTTGCTGCTTCTCTAATTATCTTCTCTTCTCCTCTTCTGATTCCAAATACACTGTCCACTTTCTGTTTTTCTGATATCTCAAACTCCTTCCCACTTCTTAGCCTTCGTGCCTGCTGCCTAAGACAGTTTTCCAGGTCTTCATATAACTGATACATTCTCATTATTTCAGACTCACTCCCTAGTGTGTGGTGTGTCTTACCTTCTCCAGAGCACCTCCGCTCTCTGAATGATCTTACTCATTTATATGTACATATTTCTTCCCCTGCCCCCACACCCTCAGAAGGTAAACACCACGTACGGGCAAAGGCTTGTCTGTCATATTTAGTACTTTATCCTCAGCACCTAGAAAAATGCCAGGCACAGAGCAGGCACCCAACAAACAGCCACCGAGGAAACAAGACGAGTCATTGCATAGACGATATTATAAAATATCCAAGTCCCCTGATGTGTCGGTGAAACCTTTCTACACGCACATGTATGTTGTATCTATGTGAAGCAGTGTTTTACATGTAAATTCCTTTGGAGAAATCGAAGCACAGTACTAATCTACTTTCATACAATATTTTACATGTAACTAAGTGTCTTTGCGTACATGATCACATCTACTGATGACAGACAGATAGGATCATCCTTCATTTTCATTTCAGAGGAGAGATGCCTGATTCTTAGGAACTTTAAAGGGGCGTCTCAAAGATGCTGACCCTAACAGGTGCCAACAGCAGAACCAAAATCCTAGCGCCGGTGCCCATCTTTCCTTGGGAACCTTCCAGGGGTTGTCCTTCTGAACACAGAAGTATTTGAAATGGCTCAAGAATGAGGAGTGCCTGTCTCACTACTCGAGAGGGCCATACTCCACACAGCACATGAATGAACATTTAATGGGAAATGCGAAGGGAAATCATGAGAAAAATGAGTTGCTGGGAATAGGCTCTCCGTAGCAAGCTCATCATCCGAGTTCTCAGCCAGATCACATCAGTCAACTGAAGGCCATAAACACGGCAGTATTTCCCTTCTCTGCGTTCGTCCGGATTCCCATTCGTAGGGTGGCTCACGTTTAACTTAGCATTACCGAGAAGCAGCACGCGAGAACGAGGACACAGTCAGAACACCTGAGCAGCCTTTCGCTTCACTGAAAATGCCATTTCCAAAGGAACCAATGAGCCAGGGATGGGCTTCCTTAGTCCGAGCTATGGGAACCCACCTCTCTTTCCCTGTCGGCGGGAATTATATCTGTGGCTTGGCAGGGTAACCCCCAAGCTGCAGACCTCTGCAGACACCCTGTGTGAAGGAGACAGAGTCCTGTGTTCATGTAGATCGGCACGCGCTTTCCCCGGTGGACACAAGGTAGAACGTAACGGGGGCCACGCGGGAGGTTACTGGCCATCCGCGGAGAGACTCTTTATGTGTTCTCCACTCAGTGAACAGAGAAGTTCACGGGAGGCATAGACTTCCCATCCAAACAAAGAGCAGATGTGATCACCCATGTATTTTCTAGGTCCCAAGTGGCATTGGAAATACTGAGGGAACATCAGAAGGTTCAAAGGGCCCCGCTAGGTTCACCCTGACAAGGCTCCGCTACAGGTAACACCGGGGCTACAGTGATACCTCACCCGTTTCAAGTTAAGTCAGCTCCACGTATATGATTGAAACGAATGATACTGGTACCTTGGTCCGGAGTCTCAGACACAGATTTTCCCCACATCTTAAATCAATTCTTTATCCTGCGACCGCCATGTACCAACCCGGAAATTTATTACAAAATAACATTATCTGTATAAGTAAAAGATTACTGATGAGGTTATATTTGCTAGGTTCTTTCGCGGGGTAGTTACATTCTAAGTACTGTTGCTACCATGAGCATTTTCCTCTATTTTAACTGCTGGTGACAATATTATGAGCTACCTAACATCTGAAACTCATTCTTCAGCTCATTAGTGATAAGATGGTGAAAATCATTTGGTTATTGGAAAACTGAGAGGCAGCCATAGGAACCAGAAAGATTGCAGCTTTTGCTTTCCTCTGGGGGGTTCTAAAGCATTAGAGCTTGTGGCCAGTTAATCTTCTGTAACCGCTTGGCGAGGTAGACACGGGTCAGAGCCAAGGTGACTTCTCCAAGATCACTCCTTCGAGCAAAGGCAGCCAGGTGTGCGAGTCCGGGCCAGTCAGTGCTCCGGGTCCTGCTGGCCGATGTGAGTTCCCACGCTGCATTGTCTTTCCTGCCTTGCACACATCCCATCAAACAGTGGAGGCTAGAACCCGAGCCGTGCTAATTAAATCCTGGTCATTAAACTTGACTAATAGCCAGAGACCTTTAGCTTATCATTTGGCCTTTAAAAGAATCCTTTGGTGGGGTGGGTGGGATGCATTGTTTATACTAGGTACAGTGGTGGTTTGTGGTATGAGCAGGTGGGGGTCAAGAGAGAAGCAGGCTTTGGGTGTGCTTTC